TGTCTCAGACGGCCAGAGCCGACTCGAGGTGATTCAGAGATTGCTCGTACGTTAGGGCGGGCTGGTGAATGGAGCGGCAGACACAACTTATCGGTTGCAAAAACTTTACTCACGCCGCTTGCAATCACGACGCAGGTGGTCCGGTCATCTGAACAACCACACGAGTTGTTCCAGCTGGCGGGGCCCAAGCCAGTTAATCCGTCCGCAATTCGAAGCCGGCGGGGAAAGGGGTACATCTGGGGCTGCACTCGGTGACGGGAAGAAAGATCGATAGGTGATCAGTCTATCGATCGGCAGCCGCAAGTCAGATCACTTCAGAGGCACTCTGCAGCGTGCTCAAAGCTCTTCGACTTGGGCGGAAGTCACGTGGAATTTTAAACGGCTAGCGAGCCAATTACTAGCCGCCACGTGTGAATAATTTAGCACTGGCCAATAGCGGGACACAAATTTGCATTCGAATAGCAGGAACTCTTTGCACCGTGCATTTCTGAGCTGCAAAGAAGAAATGCACCCTGCAAAGAAGGCTGCAAATTGGCGGGAACTCTCTTGCAGCGAGGTTTCTCTGTGCAGCAAAACCCTCGCTGTGCAAGAGGCTCTCATGTGGCAAGAAAATCCCACTGTGCCGAGGCACCAAAAATCACTGGGTTGTGACATTATTAACCCTCTTCAGAAAGGGATGGGGAGCTGCTTCTGGGGAGGGATTTATGTGAATGGTTGTAGCTGTTCCCCCTGCAAGCTCCTGCTGCCACAGGAATGAACTTAAATGGCTGTAAATGTAACCCTGAATGCAATAATGTTGCTTTGCTTTTATAGAAGGCTCTTGTAATGTTGAGCCCTTAAGGCATTTAAAAAATACATTGGTACGTTACACAAGGTGCATCACTCAAGTGATCTGGCCAAGCTATATTCTTCTGGACTGCAGCTCCCTTCCAGCATTGTCTGGATTCAGTATTTCTCACTCTGAGCAGAAATCTGTACTCACTCAAAGCCTGCAGTTTGGAAGTTGAAATGTTGTCTTAGTGAGGACTAACAATTTTTCTGATGGGTTTCTACAGATGAGTTATATTTGATTGTAAAATAATGTCCAAGCATGCTCAGGTGGCATCTGCTAAGATTTTCAGAGGGATTCAGTAACATGTTAACCTGTTGGTGGCATGGAAAGTTTGTCGTCTCTGCCCTTCTGATAGCCTAAAGCAATGCTTTTCAACCGGTGTGCTGTGAAGAGCTCCCTGGTGTGCCACAAGAATTTTGGAATGAGAAGCAAGTTCTCCAGCTGCCTACCACTAACAAAAAAGCCGCACCAATGAGATATTCGCAGAAGATTTGCACATGTTGGCTATGGGGGAGAGAAAACCAGTCAAGCAGAAGGAAATTCATCTACTGCTCATGTGTTGGCTGTGGAGGATGCACAGTTTGTGAGCCTCTGAACAGCTTTACCACCAAGTTTTGCTACAGCAATGAGCTACAATGAGTTCATAAGTATGAGGATGGGGAATGCCTTAACAGTTGTGCCACCAAAAAAATTTATTAATGTAATTATGCCTTGGGCAGAAAAAGGTTGGGAAACACTGGTCTGGAGGCTGCAAGTTGGAGGACATAGCAGAAGCACTCATAGCATGGCCCTGTCAGATTTCAATGAAATTCCAGTTCCAATGAAATTCTGCTAAATACGTTGTCACAACAAGGACACAAGAAGGAAGTGTGCCAGTAGCTGCAGCTTAAACCAGTGGAACTCAACCTTTTAAGCTAGGAACAGATATTCACAAAGCCTGAGCCTGAATTGATTGAATCTTTGCAAGTTAGTCTAACCTGGCTAGGCTAAACCAGTTTGTAACCAGACAGACATTTTCTCTGGACTGAGGAAATTCAGGCACATGCCAGCAGTGGTGAAGGCTAGAAGCCAGGAGGTGCTAGAGCATCCCTTACATAGTGCTGAGCTGGGGGGGGGGTGTGGCCAGGCCTGCACGATCCCAGACTTTTCCCCACTTGCTGCACAAGGGGTGGGAGTGTTGCCAAACCCCAGCCCCCAGCTAGCACTCTGGGGCAAGGGTGGGGGGGATGTCCAGTGCATGCATCTGTTAATGATATGGACCTTTTCAATCTCCCTCCCTGCTTTTTTATACTGTCTGCACCAAACTGACAGGCAAGCAAGCCAGCAGGGGGCTGTAACAGTGTTTATCACCCCAGTAACAAAACAATAGCCTCTCTCCATTAGTTCACACTCTTCTTAAACAGCTTACCAGCTGACCTGTTGATTAGCTCCAAAAAGCCCTAAGCAGTCACTGTTCTGTCTGCATGTCCCAGGGAAATTGCATGACCCAGGGAAATTGGAGTCGCATACAGACACCTCTCAGCATTAGCTAGCATACCACATGCCTAGTGTCCATGGGGCAGGGGTCCGTGTGGTGGGAGATGGGAGGGAGAGAGTGGGGGATTCCTGCTTAAGCAGCGAGCAGCCAGGGGGGATTAGGGCAGGGGGAAGCCAGGCAGACCTTGCTGTTGTCTGCAGTCTCTGCCAGAGCTCCAGCCATGGAGCAAAGGGGAGGAACCAGCTCTGCTGTGGAGCAGAGAGCCCTGGCCAGCCCAGGGAGCATGCCGAGATGCCGGGAGAGTCTGGTGTATCTTAAACCAGCAAGGGGCCTAGAACAGACATTGCATAAACCAGTTTGAGCCAGATCAGTTAAGTCTGTTATACTGCATTCAACCAGGTTTATCTCAAACTGGTTTCAGCCATTTTCAAACTAGTTTATGTGTACTGAACATCTGTTCTGTTACAGGTTTAAACCAGTTTCCAATCACTTAAACCAGTTTATTTGTAACGCCTGTCCCTGAGCCAGGTGTTTGTGACCTGGCTGCACTGCAGTCCACCACTCTCTCCAGTAGGAGAGGACAGGATGGAGATGGGGGAGAGAGGTGATTATTACCAGTGTCAGAGAGGGAGAGGAAGAGAGCAGGGCAAGGAGGTTTGTGGAGGGGTTGAGCAGGCAGTACAGGACAGAGAAGGGGATACAACAAGCTGAGCTGCTTGACACTGACCCCCAATGCTGCAGGCTGGATCCATTTGCTTTGGGGGTCAGATCCAGCCCAGAGGCTGTAGGTTGAGCAGAACTGACTTAGACCATTGGCCCAGGGGAGATAATTAATGTCATGGTGAAACTGACATCACAAAAAATTTCCTTTCATCAAGAACTGAAGCCATGGGCACTAAGAAAACTGCAGCTCTTAATACTTTTAGCTTTTGAGAGACTTCCTGCAAACCCACTGGCTTTGCAACTCATATTCATTGAAGAGTTTGGGTCCGTATCTCACTTACACTAATGTGCTCCCCTTTATGCAGCTCTAATAATAGAAAGGGCCCTTAAATAACAGAGCCTGTTTCTTGCCCTGCACCTTATTCAGTCACTGGTGCCAGGTGGGTGTGAATTAATGCAATTCTGACTGGGAACTTTTTTTTTTACCCATTTGGCACAGGTGTTAACAACAGCAGGGACAGCAGAACCATCCTCACTGTATAAAGTGCTCTTGGAGAGTCAGGCCCCATGATTCCCCTTTACCTTTTAAATGCATAGCCCAATTGCTGCCTTAATACAATTTGTTGCATTTCATTCTTAGTTCCGCAAAGCCTTTGTGCACTGATATCTCCAAAATCTGACACGGCACTGAAGGCTGCTGGAATTTTCCTTCCAAAGGACAGCAGGTTTTGGCTGTACAATTGCAATAATGCAGGATTAAATCCTTTCTAAGCTTAGCTTGTTATGAAGTCCAGTACCCAGAGTGATACAAGCCACACCAGACCAAAATGGTAATTAGCAGAGTCGGTCCCCAGAGTTCCATTACAAATGCTGTCTTCAGCTGTCCTTTCAACTGCTATTCTAGGAAAAATTCAAGTGGTTTTTTTTTGGTTTTTTTTAACATTTCTTTCCATTTCTCCAAGGAAAAGAGGCCTATGTCGGAGCACTGGACTCAATTCTGACTGAAATGGGAGTCCACTTGACAAACAAGGAGCTCCAAGAGGCACTGAAGTATGTGACAGTAGATGGTAAGCTTTGCAGGGAATGCAATGCTGGGCCAAAGAGCCAAATGGGAACCAGATTTCCCAATGTGGCATATGCTGGATCCAGGTGGCCCAGAAACATTGGGCTTTGGCTGCATTTGGCAATGAGAGCTTCTCCTGTGCTGTGGCTGAGGAAAGAGCTGGTGGCCAGGTCCTAATGCCCACCACTAACCCAAGCTGGGTCATTCCAGCCCACTACGACAACAAGGTTGCCAGTCACTGGCCTAGGAAACCAAGATTGCACGTTTTCAGTTTGGAGTCACAAAGGTATTCTGTTCCAGTGTCATCATTTTGATTTTTTTCATTTTGATTTCTACAGGGAATTAAAACCCAAAATGCAGTGCATGATGTAAGGACACACAGAAGTGTTTTAGTATTATATAAAAACGGCAAAGTGACAAGAACCAAAATGTTTCAGTATTGCCAAAAGAAAACACTTCAGCTTTTTCCCATCCAAATGATCATTGAAGTGGATGTGTCACCATGCCACATTTACAAAGGGCTATATTTTTTATTGAAAAAGTTTCCACTGAATAGTTTTCAGTCAGTGGTTGTTGTCTGTCTTGTTTGGACAAGGCTGGTGTTGAGGGGGTCATGGACCTCTCTCAAGTAAAATCCCACAAAGAACGGAGATCCGTGCTCTACTCTGAATCTCCTGCCATGGAGTCCCATACGATACACTGGTGAGGACATGAAATTGTCTCTATCCATGAGCCGGTTCCCGGGCCTGATGACCTACTGAAATGGACATATGAACAGCGCACTGGGATTTAGAAATACTTTCTCCAGCCCTGATTATCCTGGGGAAGAGTGAGAAAAGTCATAGGCTTCATCAAGCTGCTATGTATAAAGAGATGCTCTTAGTCATTCCAGCTCTCCATCTTCCACATTGACTAACCTGGCCTGGGCTGTCTAGTGTCTCCTTGACATCCTGGCCTGAATCAGGTGGTCTGGAAGAGGCTGGTGGACAATGTTGTATGAAAGTGTTAATGTCCATTTCTAAAATTAATAGGCCCAATCCATAACGGAGATAGATTTGAGTAGGTCTGCTCATATCCCTAGAGTTACTCAGAGGTTCACAAAGTGTAAACCTAGCCCATGACTGATCTTCAAGGGCCACCCTTAAGGTGTAATCAATGGAGAAATAGGTACTTGGCCTACCTGCTACTCAGAGCCAATTACTATCTTTCTGCCTGACCAGCACTTTAACTCTGCAGAAAATGGGAAGGTGAAGGTGAGCGACTTTCTGGAGAGCATGATCAGTACACGGAGAGCTTCCCTGGCTGATAGTGAGTAAAGGCCTTGCCATGAGATTGGGTAAAACATGTTATAATGACACTAAGCTCTAATTTATTTCTCTGCACGGAACTTGTGTACATGCCACAATTCTTCAGCATGGCTTTGCAAGCACCTATAAACCCAGCTAATCCAGAAGGGCCATTCCCCACCTAAGAGGCTTATGACCTGCTACAGCTTGAATGTTAATGGATCTGGCCCTTTAGATCCAGATGACCCACATTCCTCTTCCAGGGATCATCTTTCGAACATGGGGTCCTGCCTGATTATTATTCAAGTTATTTTCATCTAAGACATCTTGGCCATTTATTGCACAAAAGGAAAACTGCTCCAGTGCAGAGGCACCCAGAACAAAGTCCGGGCAACATTGCTAGCCAGCTGGAACTCTCCAAATAACATGAAAGGGAGTCCTTGGGCTCTCTGCACTGGAAAAGACTGCACCCAAACTGAATAAACATTATGAGGTGAGGCCCCATGACAAAACAGCCAAGAACATGTATTTGGCCCATTTCTCAATAAATCCACTATGCAGCACAGTGGACATGTCTTTTGGCTGATCACTCAGGCCTATGTATCAGTTCAGGGTCAAGAGGAGTGTTTTCCAGTTCAGGCAGCCCTCACTAAGATCTTAGAGATTAATCATTTGTTCCATCCATTGAAGGGGACAAGGTACACGTAAGTCACCTGGAGTCCATTCTGGGCAGAATGGAGGTCTTCCTAAGTGAGCAGGAGTTCCAGGAAGCATTGAAGCACACCAACGTAGGTGGTGAGTATCACAGATACCTCTGGAGGTACACATGTTCCTGTACAGTTATTGGTTTCAAGAGGAGAACCCGGGTAAGTCTTTATGATAGAATCTTGCTGTACTCAAACCAAGGACCTATTTGAACAAGATCCCATCTCTGACCACCATTCTCTGCCCTCCGGCTGTGGCACTTATGTCCGTCCTGTGACACCATCAACCTGATTTTCCTTTGTGTGCTAGACAGATCTGCTGCATTGAGGAGTAATTCAGAAAGCTCTTGCATGTTGCTTAATTACAAATATGCACTGCAGACGGTGGGGCAGGAAGCAGGAGTGGCTATGTCTGAGGGCACATGGTCTCATTAACTATCCTCGTGGCCTTAACACAACATGTCTCCCTTTTTAGGCTTCTTGCTTCCTTGTAAACCTTGGTCAACAGGCAGCCTCATAACTAGGGACCTACCTAAGTCGCAGCGAGACAATGGGTTTTTGTGGCCCATTCACAGAGTGCAGAGCCAATTTTGTGGGCATTTCACAGTGGCCCTCCCCTCACTGCTGATTGGTGGAGGGTACCTTCACTCACCATACATCACTACCACTTTTTTTTTTTTGGTTGATTTTGTGGGAAGTCATGGCCAATGCTGGATTTGCCAGCAATCACAGCAATTGTGAACAACACTATTTTTCACAGTTTTCGTGAAACCATGATTTAGGGAAGTCCCTACTCGTAACATTGCTTCCAAGGTCAGGATCCCCCCCAACTCCCTATCCTACACAATGTGGTTACACACCACAGTTGGGGTGTAGCCCAGGATGCCCTTCTTCCAGGACATCTCATAGAACTAGACTTACAGGTAAATCTGGCCAATAACAAATTGAACTGAGAAGAACTCTTTC